CGTTAATATGTGTATTGTTTCTCTCGCTTCACTAGCCCATAAAGCACCACTGTTGGGCATGCATAGAATTGGGCGTGGGTCTTCTACGTAAAAGGATGTCAAATATTTACGTGACCTTCATACTCTGTCGGAAGCCCATGAGATATATTCCAAGCATTTCTTTAGTCGCCTTTCGGATCGAAATGAGGTGAAAAAATTCAGTAAACTTTAGAAAAATTTACTTGTACAAAAACACACATATATACATACGTAGCATAGTGTTATTATGTAGAATTGTCAATAATATCAAAAATATATGAAGATAATAATAATAATAATATTCGTCCAATAGTTTTATACTTGTGATATTATCCGCACTACAGATAAATGTAGTTATTAATTGAGTTATTGAGATAATTCTGAATTCTTTCATTATGTTCCATTGGAGTAGTCTTGACAATAACAAAGTTGAAATTGATTAGCTTTCATGTCCTGCATTTTTTGACAATACTTAATTTTGTTATCTCATTATTTCTTTTGTAACGGCCTCCTTTATAAAATCCCTTCAAGTAACTATAAAACGTCCAATAAAGATAAGCCAAGACAAAATGGTAAGATTCCTATTTAAACTAGGAGTCAGCCTGGGTTGGTACCACCGTTACACCTGTCTGCTGTACCCACTGCTGGGTTTTGGTTTGAAGGGTAAGATAATCAATATACAGGACCTTTCTGCTTGTTGTTCCCAGAACAGTGGCATTTTCCGAACTAGTGGTAAAATAAGAATTGATTAATATCTACTTTCACCATCATCATTACAGTACCGTCACAAGTCCACTGCTGAACATAGGCCTCCACCAAATAATACCAGAAAGTATGATCCTGAGCCATTTGCATCCATCGACTTCCTGCATGTACCAGATCGTCACTCCATCTAGTGGGAGCTGCCCTACACTTCGTCTACTAGGTAAGAAGCTGTCATTCGAGAACTTCTCTTCCCCATCGGTTGTCGGTTCTACGAGCTATACTCGTATAACCAGGAGATGAGAAAAAATAAAAATAGCTGCTGTTGTCAATCCAACTATGGTGAAAAATCCCCCCCCCCTCCCCCCTCCCCCCTTTGAGGCAATATATTGGATGGCCAATGCACTCAGCACTGGACTTTTGACAGTCTATCAAAGACACAAAAAAAAATCCTCAAAATCAGTCGAGCCATTTTCGAGTTTTAGCGGGACTAACGGATAGCAATTGCTTTTTATATATAGAAATATTCCTGCTTTTTCAGCGATAATGTCGTAGTAATAGTGGGGGGCAACAATTTTGAAGCATTCATTCGGGAAAATGTTAAATAAATCATCATCTCATGTGAAACTCTCTTGAACAAGTGGTAAAATTAAAATGTTTGTACAACCTACTTCAATATAAATAATTTATTGGGAAGAAACAAAAAAAAATAAATTTCCAAATCGATTCAAGCGTTTTCGAGTAATCGGTGAACATACATAACAAAAAGATTCCGACGAATTGAGAACCTCCTCCTTGAAGTTGGTTGAAAACAACCCTCTGTCGGGAGCATACGTGCTTATAATATAGCACACAGTTCGGTTATCTGCAGTCATCTCCTGCAATGAAAAGCTCGAAAACAAATTAACTAAATAAAAGGAACACACTAAAAACATAATAAGCGTGCATAATGTGCTTTCCTATACTGTGCTCACGCTCTGCAGCGTCTCACGACGTGCAGCACGCTCACGAAATGTAAATACAGAGCGTTCATAACTATCTGATGTGAAGTCTAGCAAAATCCATGAAACATTTAACCGAAGTGCGGCGTTGCCAAACCGCTGTATCTCACATATGCATGTAGACACTTAGCTGCTGATCATGGGGTTCTGACTTCGAATCCCGATGGAAGAGTTCGAAGTCGAATATTAGTTATTGAGTTTTTTTGTCTAGAACAGTGGTAAAATTTGGTTGGATGGTTCTAAAGTTGTTACCGGTTTTAACGTGGCTTTTCTGATACTCCTACTTGGTAGTCGGTAGTCCCGAACTCATGGAAGACACCCGATGGTGCGCTCGATCCCTAAGAAAGGCGACAGTTCAGATCCGTCCAACTACAAGCCTATAGCTATCACCTCCTTGTTCTCTAAAATTATGGAAACGATTATTAACTGCCAGCTCATGCGGTACATTGATGATCACTAGATGATTAGTGACGGTTGACTAATCAGCTGGTGACGAACTGCCAGTGCGGTTTCCGTTGGGGTCGCTCAACTGGTGATCTTCTAGGTTACCTAGCTCATAGATGGGCGGAGGCAGTGGAATCCAAAGGGGAGGCGTTGGCCGTTAGTTTGGACATAGCGAAGGCCTTTGATCGGGTTTGGCACAAAGCGCTTCTTTCGAAGCTTCCTTCCTATGGGCTAACCGAGAAATTGTGCAATTGGATCACAAGTTTTCTTGCAGATCGGAGCATCAAGGTCATAGTAGACGGTGCATGCTCCGATTACCAGCTTATAAACGCTGGTGTTCCACAAGCCCGCGTGCTATCACGCAGTTTTTTCTGCATATCAATGATATGTTGTAAATTGGTAACATTTGGCCGTGCCAATATTTCTCGGGAAAACGTCGGCGAGTACCGGAACAAACTTGTGTCTAAAGTCGAGAATTTGTTGAACAAAGTCTCGGACTGGGGGCGACTAAATCTAATCCATTTCAATTCCCAGAAGACACAAGTTTGCGAGTTTACCGCTAAAAAGAACCCCTTTGTCGTATCTCATCAGCTTCAAGGCACTTCCTTTGTTGCCTCAGAGAGTATGAGAATCCTCGATGTCGACAAATCGAGGGATGTACTGTTTCGTGGTAACTTGGAAGAGAAGGCCAAATTGGCCTCTAAAAAGCTTGGCGTGCTCAGCAGAGCGGACAGTATTTCATGCTGGCACACCGCTTGCAACTATACAAGGCGCAGGTTCAGTCCCACATGGAATACTGTTCCCACCTCTGGGCAGGACATCAAACAAATCCAGCGAAGAGCGGTTCGAATCGTCAATGTCTATTTGTTCCGGCTAATATAGTAACTTAGGTTACTTTTATTTTAGAAAAAGAATTAGGGTTCCGCCCAAAAAAATTAAACCCCAAATAATACGCGTGCGAAGACGCGGGAACAGCTAGTTATTTATATGCGCAGATTTTTTACATTCCTTGGCCCTTTTCTGTATAATCAATTCAATGCAATTTTGTACATGTATCCATTAAAAATGGCAGATTGTCAAAATGTAAATCAGGCATGGTTACAAAATTTGTCATACGATGATACGGAAAAGTTGCTGATTGTTTTAAGTTAATTAAAATCATAAGTAAATTAATGATAATATATTTTATCAAAATAACTCTAATTAGGTAATATGTTATTAACTCTATATAAGAAACAGAAAATATTTGTAAATGTATTTATTAGCACATTCATCTGAGATACAGGTTTATCCTAGTTCAGGTTCCTGTTATTGTAAACTATTGCATACCTTAAGCGCAAAGCGCGTAAGTATGTTTTAGTAGCGCCTAAGAAGATTCCAACGTTTTGTCGCATAAAATCGTATCTAACAATCATATTGAACATAGAAATGATATAACAAACACAGAAAGATAAATTATTGTTGAACTTATTAATATTTTTTTTAAATCGATTAATTGCTATTTTTACATAAACAAGTGGTTTTAGTGGCTTATGGTGTAGATTTATTAAGTCCGCATGGAGTAGTAAACACGATAACTTTTGAAAATATCAATTGTTTAACTCAATCTATTTTTTAATCTCTTCATCTATCATGTGGGAAGCAATGGAATGTAAATGGCAGTTTAATTCTGTTTTGTTTAGTTATAATTAATTTTTTCGGTTGCAAAATGTCGAAATTTTGGTGTTTTAGCAGCCTTGTATGTAATTTATTTTAACAAATAGACTGCTTCACTCAGTCCGGCTTAAACCTCCGTCATGAGTGGATACTGTATCGGTTGTTTGCAGTGGCTCAAAAAATCGCAGTACAAATACAAAATATTCGAAAAACCAAATTCCATACATACTTGATTATTATAATAATCAGATATTTTTATTGCAATATTTTAAAAGCACAGAATAAATAATAGCAGTACGTACTAAAAGTAAGTAGGATGTACATATTTATACTTAAATACGTCTTTGACTTTATGGAGTGACCTGAATGATGATATGATGATCATATGATCATTGTGAGTCGTGCACTTTTGGATTTTCCAAACTTTTTTTCAAATTGAAGTTTAACATAAAATTATTGGAAAATTGGAAGTATAATAAGGTTATCAGTGAAAACTTTTGTGTATTTAAACTACTAAAAAATTTCCGTATAATCATGTTATACGTATTTTTTAATGCGCTTAGGGGATGCACAATTAGATTTACCAATAGTTTTTTTTTAAATTAAGACATTATTTTAATTAATTGTACAGTTTCTTGAAATAAATTATTATTATTATTTAGTTACTAGAGTGGGGGAACCTAAGCCTTTAAACTGTGCCTAACCTAGTTTTTACGGATTTAATCGCCTTTATTTACTTAGTTAAATAGTATTAGCTGCCAGTTGACAGTTTTATACAGGGTTATTTTGCAATAACTGGCCAAATTTGCATAGAAAGTCCAGAATAAGTAATATAAGCAAGCAAATGGTGAAGAAAAATTAATTAAAAAAAATCTCAAACATTCTGTTCTTTTGATCTTTTAAAGTCAGAATACGTGGTAATCCATTATTTTAACTGATTTTACTGCGCACGCACACATTCATAAGGGTCGATCGGTAGGCAAAAACGTTGTTGCCCATAAATTACATTCAATTTGAGATAATTTCAAATAAAAGTAGAAGCCTTATTTACTCGTATTTTCAAAAACTTCAATAACGGTGTATCATTATTTGAACATATGTATAGTCACCGGAATGCAACCAGGAGATCTCAGGAATCAAATTACATACTAACCATGCAAATATGTCTAATTGTTACAGATTGGTCACCAAGGAATTATGTGGTTGGGTTTAAAGCCAAAAAACTTACGTATTATGGTAAATATCCTGCAACACTTATCACACAATAGAAGTTTCCGGTAGTCTTCAACTTGAAAACCTACAAGATGGAAGATAACAGGTAAATTGTGCAATTTCTGATGTATATAGTTATTCTGACGTAAGTACACCTTTAAATAGCGGTTTTATGTGTCATCTATAATTTATTTACTCAAGCCAATTATAATGATTAGCGTTTCACACAAGCGTTATGCGTGTAAACAGAAACACGAGCGTATGTTTAATTTGTATTGAAATTATTGGAACGAAGTTCTTTATCGGACGGTACGGGTTTGGCGGATGGGGGCTAGGCGACAAAAAGTGTAAGATTTTTTCCGTCACGACGCCTTCTGACATAGTGTAGACGGTATTGGCAGTTTAAGGAAGCGCGATGGAATAATATCCATCTCCGTCGCACTTTTTCTTATCTTGCCATGAAAGAAATGTTATTTTATTTTAAATGACAATAATATAATACATTTATCAATAATAATTTACTACGAAAGGAACTTCGTTTCAACCGAGTGTTCCACGACACTCACGCATGTTTTTTTTATATTTAATGATTTCTTAAATTTACGCGAACACTACAACTAAATAGCTTTTAACTTTTTAAATCTCGGCGTTTCGGGTGCTTTATAGCACCCATTATATTACAGCAATTAAAAAGTTAAATTAAACGCGATAAAATCTGTAAAATTAGTTTCATTCAATTATTTTAGTTTTGCTCAATAAACATAGTGAGTTTACAGAGGTTTAAAAAAGTTAAAAATTACTACAACATCGCCTTAAGCAGCGGGTGACTCAATGCCGGGTGAACATTATCGGTGCGTGCAAACCGTATGATTATAGCGGTTCTCCGTTTTCTGCTTCATTCCGTAGTATTCCACTGCTGTACAAAGGCTCTTATGAATCTCCCCTTGTATGAAACATTTGCTGCCACTGCCACACTTGACAGGTGGATCGACGATCGCAGTACTACCTGATGGATACAAGGTACCGACACTGCTCCCGGCAATGGTCTGTGTATTTTTTTTTTACTTATTATAAGCCAGTGCTTGGTCACAATCTCACCTGGTGGTAAATGTTGAGGAAGCCCTAGATGGTAAATCGAATGGTATTTTATACCTGTCATATAAAAAACGGTAACGGCTATCTGTTGAAGGTCATTAGGTCTTAGGACTTTTCCACAATGATCTCATAATATTATGTTTCTTCTATCGCCGGTTTTTGTATCTTATATCTTGCGTAAACAAGATGGTATACTGCTATCGGAGGTTAGAAGATTTCTTTGGCATTTCCATATTGTCACCTCTTAGGGCACTCTTAATTTTGTATTGTTTTTTCCTTTTTTTTTGGCGATATTTTTTATATAGAATAAGGGTGACAAGCGAGCACACAGCCCATCTGATGGTAAGTGGATGCCGTGGCCCATAGACATCTACAGATATCCTCGATTAAATGTCAAAATGTAGATGTGTTGTCACCCCTGAGGACTGAGAGGGAATGCCTCGTTACCAGTAAAGACGATCATCTTCGAAACATAGCAACAATTAGCTGTTATATCACGCTGGTATTCTGTGAGAGCGTGGTCCTACTCGTGCTACAACCATAATATAGCAGGAGCGTGGCTCTACCACGTTTAAAATTTAAATGTAAAACGATAAATTAATTTTTGTATGAATTCATACGAACATATAATATTATATTTGAATCAAGAAATCGAAGCGGGTGCTTTTCCACTGACAGAATGTTATCGATTTTATTTCAAGTCTCTTGTAAACATTCAGCCGTCGTTAACTTCTATTCACAGTCAGAACATAGGTTATATGGGAGGCCTATTTTTATTATTATTCTATTTTATGTTATCTGTTACTTAAAATTAGTTAAGATACGTGGTACACTATGGCCGTGGTACGTGGTACACTATGACAAAAATTCCCCACGCCAAAAAATTCCCATGTTAATGAGTGCGACCTCGGTGCGACTTCGTCACGAACGGCAAAGTCTAGTGTTATTTAATAAACGTTAGGGTAATGTATGTTTAATAGGGCTTATTATTTGGCTAGTAATTTTTTTTCTTTGTTTTGTTTCAATTCTCTGGTATTATTGAAGCTTAAATTCATACACTTAATATTTTCCTCGTCAGACCAATGGCGTATTTCCTTTTCCGTGTTGATTCCAACTATTGAATGCTGTGTAAGAATATCCACTATCGCATTACGTCTCGTGGGCAGAAGGAAACAAAGCAGGAGATGGGCAGCAGCGTCTTCCTAATCTCAACTAAAAATCTGGTGTTGCCAACCCGTCAAGCGTGGCCTGTGGCAAATATCCCCCTTTATGAGGTAATGAATGGAGAAGGCTATGTTCTAAGTAATGGACTTTGATGGGCCGTAATGAATAAATTAATGTTCAATAGAAGACAATACTGCCTGGAAATGCGCACGAGTTCGTTACGCTAACTATATCGTAAGAAACTATTCCGGTTCCAATGCTAGAAATTATTCTCAAAATTATTTATATATAATTTAAAATAAAAAATTTTGTACAACCGACTTCAATATAAATTATTAAGAATAACTCAAAAAATATTGGTCAGACCTTGATCAAATTTATATGGCATTATATTATACGTATTTTATATATGGTAGAGAGATGAAATTTGTAAAAAAAAAGAATCAACGAATTCGGTACACCCAGATAGAATTTACGAGTAAGAGGTAACATACATAAAAAAACAATTTTGTATGATTTGAGTACCTCCTCCTGTTTGAAGTCGGTAGAAAAGAACACTACTCTGTAACTGACTTTGCTTACTATCAGGACCCAAATAGATGATAACACCAAAGTATGCAAAAATCAACTGCATCACTACCCATCTCAATGTAACACAGGGCAGCCTCTCAGCAACACGATCTTCCTTGCCTACTCTAGTAGAATACTCCAACGGGCGTAGAAACGACACGACACTAAGACTCATAGAATTACAGACTGATGCCTCTTAGTTTTTTTTTGCGCCCAGAAGCAATGAAATGGGCTACCCTCCGGGTTGCGGGGGAGGGAGGTGGTGTATGCTCTAAGCATACCACGCAGCCGGCTGCGTGGTTATGTGGGACTCACTGTGGAACCTAAATGCCTACCCACTACACACCACCTGGGACTGGCATTGGCCTATATGGCCTTTCTGCCGAATCGGAAGCAACCCCCTTTAGGGAAAAGGGGCGCTTAGAACTGGTGGAAGATCTTCTTCTACCTACATTTGTTCGTATTTCCCTTTATTTTTTTTTCCAACAATATATAAATAATAATGTCATACATTAACGCGAATACGCGACTACATATGAAATTAAATAAAAATAAGTAAAAACAATACGTAATTATGATGTTTTTCTTTAAATTTCAATACCTTCACGAATCGTTCTTTTCGGGAATGGGTGTTATATTGCAAGGCTTTGTGTTTTATCAATATCAAATTGATGAACTGAATGATTTAGCTGTACGTTTTCTGGTTACGTGATGGTCAAAATTTATTTGTTTCTTTGATAGGTTCACCGTCTGCAAAGTGGAGTCAGAAAACAAGAAGAATGGAATACACATGGGCGCTAACATCATCACGCGTCCTCTGCGATCGTCTGCGGAGACTACCGAGCGTGACGTGGCAGTCAATAACCAACCCGATACCTGGCTGCACGACGCTGGCTGGAGAAGAAAAAGGTCGCTGGCACAGCTCACGCGGGAAGCACTGCCTAGGATGGAGAACTATAGGAACTCTAAGCGAGCACTGAAAAGGCCTAGCCTTGGAGAACTGCACGGGGATAACCATATTACTGAAGAGGTAATGTTTTCCTTAACTTTTGTTAAGTTGATTAATTGATACCGTATACAGGGTTATTTTTCAGAGTAGCCAAATTTTAAACTCTAGTTCAAATAATATATAAATATTTATATACCGTTATTGTAGTTTTTGAAAATACGAGTAAATAAGGTTTCTACTTTTATTTGAAATATATAACAACGCGTCAACGTTCCTGCCTACCAATCGACCCTTACGAATGTGTGCGTGCGTAGTAAAATCAGTTAAAACGAGTTGAATGTAAATTCAAGAAAAACAACTTCCTTCTACGTGAATCCCATATCTCTGGTGCCCTTTGACGTACAGGACCCAAATTCAAACTTGACTGAGCTACTACCTCAAGGTATCCACATACCAAATTTAAAGTCAATCGGTCCAGTGGAACGGAAGTTATTGTGTCGGCATACAGACTAACAGACTGCCAGCTAAAACCATTAACGTCCTTTCAATGCTACGCAGAAGGAAGTTAATAATGCATTACCACACATTTTGAATTTAAAAGATAAAAAAAGGATAGAATGTTAGAGACTTTTTTTATTAGAATAGAATAGTATAGAATAATTTTTTATTCTTATTGAAAGTCATTTTTACTTTACCACTGGTTCGAAAAAAAACCTCTGTCCTGGGAGGAACCAGCAAGAAACCCAGCGGGACTTTTTTTAAAAGCATATTTTACATTAATGGTTGTACAAACTATATAAGTACAAAATTTATTTTAGAAACAGCTTGGAAGCGACCACCTTATTCCCAGGGGTTACGAGTATTATCAACCATGTATTCATTTATACTATAATAACCCTTTTTATACAGTTTCAACTTAACAAAACATTTAAACTTGGTAATAGAGAGAGCCTGTACACTTTCCGGGACCTTGTTGTAATAGCGTATACATTGCCCCAAGAATGAACTACTGACTCTGTGGACTCTCCCATTGTCGCCTCTCACAACACCCACTAAGCGAAATAATTTGAAGGATTCTTTAACGCGCATGTCCTTTATCTGCAAAAAAAACTTATGTATTTCTTTTATAGCATAGTGTGACAAACGAGCACACAGTACACCTGGTGGTAAGTGGTTGCTGCAGCCCATAGACATCTACATCTATCCTCGATTACGAATCTGAGATGGAATGCCTCGTTTCCAGTAAAAAGGGTCTCCGGTTCTCTACACTCACCATACGAAACACAGCAGCGTCAAGCTGCTATTTTGCGCTGATATTCTGTGGAAACGTGGTCCTTTCCCGGTCGCGCCGACCCATTCGTGCTACAACTAAACTACTAATATAACCGCAGCATGGCTCTACCACGTAAAACGTTTCATTGCCATTAAACATTTTCCTGTTTTATTAGTAACTAAAAGATTTCATTTATTGACAACAATCGTTCCATATTATTTTATTTTTATATTATCTATATGCAATTATAATATCGTATTTTTTGGCTAAAAAACCTAATTATCGCCGGTCGTTAACCGATCATTTGACAGACAACATGTACACTTCCGATGATTAAATTGTAATTTAGGATCCATTCGCTATGGCATTACGAAATACGCGCGAGTATTTATTTATGCAAACGAATAAAATAGAGAAATACGTGCAATTTAACATTATCATATACTAGTAATCTGATGATGTACCGTTTCAAACTCTGAAGAACATTTAGTTACGAGTTGATATAATGTCAATGACATTATTAATTTTTTTTTTATAAAATAAGTGTGGCAAACGAGTACACAGTCCACCTGTGGTAAGTGGATGGCGTGGCTCATAGATATTTACATTTATCCTCAATTAAGAATAATAATGCAGATGAGTTGTCACTCTTGAGGACTAAGATGAAATGCCTCGTTTCCAGTAAAAAAAGGTCTCCGGTTCTCTACACTTATCTTCCAAAACGCAGCAGTATTAAGCTACTATTTAAGGTCCAGCCCCGGTCGAGCCGAACCATTCGTGCTACAACTATAATATAGCTGCAGCGTGGCGCTACCACATTACTACCACGAAAACAACATTAACAAACGGTTGAACCACCTGTTCAACCGCAAGGGAACTCCGCCATCTTCAACGACATGTAATACATAATAGTTACAAATTATTTTATCATTGTTACATACATTCATTGAAATAATCGGGGTGTGTAGACGGTGTCAGTGTCAGAGGATCCATTAACCTATATCATCCCATGGGTGTTATAAAACGCACACAGCCCTCAGTTTTCCTCGCAGAATATTGCCAAGACCAATGTTCCCAGAAGCTTTTTTATCAGATAATAGAGTTATGTTACGCTATATATGATTGAAATTTAAGTTAACAAAAAGTAGTAATTAATTTGATATGATAAATATGACACAACTTAGTTAATTTTGCGTGGTTAGGTGGTAGGCACGTATACTGGCCACATAATCTTGCGCTCGTGAATAAAATAATACAACTAAAAAAAAATATGTACCTACTGATTCGTAATCAACGATATCAATTAAGTGGTTGCCACTTAATTGATATCGTTGACGAGACGCGTCTTCTACGAATCTTCGGTCCTCGCCGGTTCTCGCCGGTATTGTCCGGTGTTACCCGCTTCTGCTTTGCTTTAATTAGATGTTAAAAATTCCACTATCATATATTTATTGTCATAAGTGTCTTCATTTGCGCTTAACTGAAGTGTTCATATCCTCAAGTGATTAAAGGCGACTTGAATCGAAAATTCCGGACGTAAATTATAAGATGTTTCTTATCGTAGTTAATTGTAGACCTTGGCCAGTTTTACAGCAGTATCATTAGTATAATATCATAAAGAAAAAACGAATTCCAGTGGACTTATTACCTATGATAATACCTCTTAGTCTTTTTAAATTTTAAAAATGAACATAAGATACTTTTTTTAAATAAATTTAAGTAAATTGAGCCAAAAGTCTTTAACGGAAAAATTGATTTTTGAGCCTCACTACTACAAGTGTGCTTAGATCCAGTTTCCATATCTAAGAAATAATTGAAATGTTTCTGTGTGTGCATTACAGCTTTTGCTGTCTGAGAGTTGTCGAAGAGTGCGTGATTTGGCGCCTCATGTACTAGGAACAATCGGGCTCAAAACTCTGGCTAATAAGCCATATTTTTTTCAATAGAAATAATCTTAAGTTTTACCGCCTTGTAAAACGAAAACTGGGAGGAAGACAGAGACAACAACACAAAGTCGTATATACTCAAACTAAAATATTAAGAAAAAAATAGCGAAAAAGCTTGGGCAATAATTAGGAACACTGAAAAAAACAACTTAAGTAAAATTACTTTACTACACAATACTAAAATCGAATAAAATATTTACTATCAAGTCAACTGTCAAAATGGCGCTCTTTTGACCTTTTATTATTTGATTGACGAATGAAGATTGAGCTATAGTATCACGGCGTCATCTATGCAAACAAGGCTGCAGTTTTCGAGTTAAAGAAAGTGACCATATTAATCGGGTGACCATATTACTCTCACGTACTCTAGTCACAAACGAACAGAGTCCACCTGATGATAAATATGTAGTTGCTGTGGCCCATAGACATCTACATCTATCCTCGACTACGAATCAAAATGCAGATGCGTTGTCACCTCTGAGGACTAAGAATGCCTCGTTTCGAAAAAGGGTGTGCGGTTTTCTTCCCTCACCAAACTCACCATACGAAACAGCAGCATTAAGCTGCTATTTTACACTGTTATTCTGTGAGAGCGTCATGGTCCTACCCCCATCGAGCCGACACATTCGTGCCAAAATGTTACGTGATTTGTTACGTGGTAGAGCCATGCTGCAGCTGTATTGGTGGTATGGTTGTGGCACAAATGGGTCGGCTCGACTGGGGACGGACCACGCTCTCACGGAATACCAGCGTAAAATAACAGCTGCTGTGTTTCGTATGGTAAGTGTGGCGAGCCGGAGACCCTTTTTACTGGAAAAGAGGCATTCTATCTTAGTCCTCATGGCTGACAACGCATCTGCATTTTAATCCGCAAACGAAGATAGATGTAGATGTCTATGGGCTACAGCAACCACTTACCATCAGGTGGACTGTGTGCCTGTTTGTCACACTTATTCTATAAAAAAATATACTACTAACATAGCTGCAGCATGGCTCTACCACACTACAGTCCTCGGTTTGTACATAAAAAATTAAATTGAAAACACGAGTCACGTTTTTTTATACGTTCATTATTTGTAGATTATAACAAGGTTCCATTAAAATTTTGTAAATATCTTCATAACTCCTTAATTTCCAATCTAAAGTTTGGCGAAGTTACGTGCTTGATGAACTCTGTTATTTGTAAAACTTTAACATCGCAACAAACACAATTACGGTAATAAATAAACCAACCGGCACGTGACACTATCAATCTTCCGCCATGTTCCTGCGGCTTCGATTGTGTTTAATTAAAAGCTGACGAACTTTTTATTACTGAAAATTATTGAACCAAAAGGTGCAGAATTTGCAGTTATAAATACACGTAAGATTTCATATTTCTTTTTTTTTTTTATAAATAAAGAGGCTATTGGTACATAGCCGTTGAGCGTACCGCGGACTTTTTTGAAAATATTGGTAAGAATTCCAATTCGTTCCAATATTCGTCCATTTAGTTCTATCCACGGAGCAATTTGCTCCGCGGTTCTATTTAATAGAACTAGAGCAGCGCACGATAATTAATCGGTGAATTGTTAGTATCATTGTAAAAAGTACCAATAAGTATATAACTATATACTTATTGGTACTATTACTTATTGGTATATACTAATAAGTACCTATAATCTCTTATGTAGTTTGTAATCTATCAAGTTTGTAATCTATAACTTTGCAAAATTTAATTAAAATCCATTCAGTAGTTTTTCTGCCGACTTCCAAAAAGGAGACGGTACTCAATTCGACTATGTTTTTTTTATATGTGTTACCTCATAACTTTTTACTGGGCGAACTGATTTGGATGATTCTTTTTTTATTTGAAAGCTGGTACTTCTCGTGTAGTCCTATATGAATTTGATCAAGGTCAGACAAATAGTTTTTGAATTATTCTTAATAACTCATATTGAAGTCGGCTGTATAAAATTTTTAATTTTAAATTATAACAGCAGTAGTGTAAACAAACATACAAACATACAGATATTTATAATTATGATATTATGATCGTAGGACAAATAGGAGTACTCGTGCTACTTTAAAAAATCTATTTGCAAACAATTCTAGCTACATTTTGTAGTACTTTGTGCTAGTTCAATGTTATAACACATGTTCATCAAATTAGCTTTCTATTACGTATTTCTCCAGTCATTAAGACCACATGTTGAAAATCAGAAGGACATTATAGGTAATGAATGGGATTATTCTCTTGTTTATCGTGTTATAACATTTGCAAACAATACGCCGTTTCGATACCTATCGGTTTCAATACGAGAACGGTGTTATGACACAAATCAACAGGAACATACGATGTCCATCACGGCTCGCCACGCAGGGTCACCTATCATTCATGCGCAATGAGCTAGGGTTGCTAGGTGTAAACATATCCGGTCTTACTCATTAAATTCAACGTCATAAGTACTCAGAGTTGCTTTTTCTCTTTTCAACAAATGTCAACAGATAGAGTCAGATACATAGACTTAGGATATAATGGCGTAAGTATATCCTAAGTCTATGGTCAGATACCAATTAACAAAGTATGAAGATAGTTATTACTTAATAGTCCACGAGGCATCGGCGCATGTCTACTGAAAACTATTCCAACTCAATTTTTTATGCGATTCTCTTCAAATTGATGATTATGTAAACGATAATCAATGAATATAAGTGAGGCAGAATGTTAATTTATATTGTTGCTGATGATGGTGATGATGATGACTCATGGCTGGCATGTTTATTATGGTAATGTTATTCTCTTATTTAAGTGGCGCAACTATACGCTCTACTATAGAGGCAATTTCTGCATAGAGGATTTTTAAGGCTTGCTACCGTTTAAAAATCGAATTAGAAGTACCCCCGGGTACAGAATCAGGCTACAAAATCTAAGCAAATGCATAAAGGTGTAAGAAAAATGTAACGTTATGATACAGGACACGTGATTACTATTGTTATAATTTAAGGAAAGAAGGGTTTGAAAATACACAGTGGTAGTAAATGCTGTCGATGCTACGAGTGTCCTCCGAGAAATTTTTATAGAATTTCTTATAAAATGTTAATTATATAAATTCGCCAACCCTGTATGTAATTTTGCGCATGGGCAACGACGTGTTCAATATGCAATATTATATACATACACGAGATAATATCTTGCTCTCTATTGTTGGATCATGAGTTCTAGTTGTTTTTGAATGCATTGCTTTTAGGTGTGCAAGAATGTATAATACAATTAAAAGTTAAACAAAAATAAAAGTTTACATAAATTTATGAGTTTTTTATTTTAATCAATAGGTAAAGCGTCTTGTAAATTATTTTTAAACTAAACGTATGATAGTACGAACGCCGATCTTCTCGGGGGCCTGCGCGGTCGCAACACTCAAGCTATAGCCTAAGTGTCATTCAGTTTTTTTTTTATAGAAGTTGTGGTGTCAAACGATGCTATGTGGTCGTAATGGTATAGACACCTATTTGACAAATTTCAGATGCGTTATCACCCTTGAGGGTAAGCAATCATAAACATAGCTTGCTTATACATACTCTAAGACTAAAATTGAATACCTCGTTACTAGGAAAAGAATCTCTGCTTCCCGTCAATCATCATACGAACCTCAGCAGCATTAGGGTGTTACCACACCAATCAATCGATCGTCGATCGATGCCATTGATCGACGTCGATTGATGTCGATTGAATGGTGTAGTAGCTTTAGCTGATCGACGGATATTAGTCGATAAAACGTTGTTCAATCATCGATCAACGTCAATCGACAAATAATATGGTTTTGACGTGATTGTGGACTCATCATCCGTATCTTTCAAAATGTAGTCAAAAGAGGTCGCGTTATTGTTGGCCAGTACGCTCTTGCTCGTATTATTATTACGGAGATGCAAACGCAGACTCATCCAGAGTCAACCGTGTTTTTAGGTGCTTTTAGAGATCGCTTATTTCATTTAGACTAAATTTTAAATAGCAGTCGGTGGAGCGGGGCGCGTTCTTGAATAATCAATTTTCTTGATCGACGTCGGCTAAATGGTATCGATTGATCGGTGTGGTAGAAACTATCGATTGACGTCTACTAATTCCTTCTACCATCGATCGACGATCGATCGATCGGTGTGGTAACGCCCATATGTTGCTACTTGTATAATTGCATATCACGCTGTGTGCATTCTGTGCGAGCGTGGTGTTATCCCGGTCTAGCCGACCTATTCGTACTGTAGTCATACCTATACCTACCTACCTACCTACTCTAAAAGTTTGTAAACTTAAACTAACAGTTTTTTTCTTAATAGACTAATAGTTTTTTTTTTTTTACTATCGGATGAGAAATTTATCACCTCCATTGTGATAACGATTAACGAAAATACTATACATTTTTTATTGACTCAGACAGACATCGAAAAAATGTACTATTTGCTATTGAGAATAGCTATAGCGTGCGGTGAAGTTTCTAAAGGAACTGTACTGTATTGACTTGTTGTCGCTGATGGTGACATTTTTTACGTGGTAGAGCTATGCTGCAGCTATATTAGTAGTATAGTTGCGCATGGGCATACCAGCGTAAAATAGCAGCTTAACACTGCTGTGTTTCGTATGGTGAGTGTAGGGAACCGGAGACCCTTGTTACTGGAAAAGAGGCATTCCATCTTAGTCCTCACGGGTGACAACGCATCTGCATTTTGATTCTTTATTGAGGATAGATGTGGATGTCTATGTGGCACAGCAACCGCTTGCCATCAGGTGTACTATATGCTCGTTTGTCACCCTATCCTATAAAAAACGGTTGATTCTGTTCTCGATCAAAGATTAAGTATTGGCGATGTGCGTGGGAACGCAGCCAGCGTTCTTCGCACTATACCGCAGTAGGACTGTATAACAATTATACCTATTGTGTAAAATATACATATATGTTATGTATATATGTTATATATTTCAAAAAATATTACGCAACATCTTAGTTACCTCGCTACGTGGCTTTCAGCAGCATTCTATATCTATTAAGTAAGTCTTTGGTATTGTTGCTAGAAATATGAAACATATTAAATGTGTCATGAGACCGCATTGTATTTACAAGATACATGATAAAGTAGGTACTGTTCAAATCTCCATCGATTAACAATCAATTCTTTGTTTTTTTTTTTATATTCCTAATTGATGTGCTTATTCCAGGAGGAGCCGCGAACAGTTCAAAGAGACACGAAATCACCAACACCAGTGATAGGAATTAAACTAGGATGGATTCAGGTATTATTTCAAGGCATTAAGCTGTTTTTTTTTATTTATTCTGTGAGCGCCTACTCCATCCCCAATCCGGCCGACGCATTCGTGCTGAAAATAAATAGCTGTAGCCTGGCTCTACCACGTATAGAATGTCTGTTTTTTGGTATCTATTCACGGCTAAACTGTTAGAACAATGTTATTTTGTTACACGTTGGTTCTGTGAGAGCGTGTTCCTTCCCCGGTCGAGCCGACAAATTCGTGCTACAACCATAATATAGCTGCAGCGTGGCTTTACCACGTATAAGTCTTGGCAATCAAGTATGTTATCGTATAATTTCGTATTGTTGATCAGGCTAAGGGTTTCAGTTGAAGGGTTTTCGTCTCCTTTCGTTTCATACATATAATATAAATTGCACAAGGAAGCATACAAACCTGGAATGATACAAAATAGAAAACTGCGGCTCTCGACCGTCACTCATAAATAATGTAATCCAGACCGAATCAGGGTCACGAAGTCTCTTCAAAGACCAGTCATCTGCTCATAACAGTATTTAAGTGCCGGAGTGTATGCGCAAGCGCAGGTGCACTCTGTCATCTCTATTCCCTCACTCTCATACTCCGATGGGACGGTAAACCGACACGACTGGAGAGAGATCAGGCACAGGACCACCGACTTTACGTGCTTTTCGGGACACGGAGATCAAAATATGCCAACATTCTGACTCCGGGCTGGTACTGAGAATTTCGGCTCGACCCGGGACCTCATGATCAGCAGTCGCGTTTACGACCACTAGACCATCGGTGTACAATGTATAAAATAATTAAAGTCCCTAATTCCGAAGCGGTTACGTGGAAAATTATTTTATTCCTTTATATTTTGCACGTTAAAAGGTCGGCTTTTACAACTTATTAAGAGTTTTTTTCTCTACCGACTTCAAAAACGAGACGGTACTCGATTCGGCTTTTTTCTTTTTTTTATGTGTGTTACCTCATAGGTTTTTTTTTCTAGGTGTACCGATTTCGATCATTTGGTACTTCTCATGTGGTCTTGTAGATCAAGGTCTGACCAATACTTTTTGAGTTATTCTTGATAAGTTATATTGAAGTCGGTTTTACAAAATATTTTAAATTTGAGTGAACAAAGGAATATCACAAGTTCAAGGTAACGACTAGAATCTCATTTAAATAGTAACATTAAAAGCTTAATCCTGTATTTAATAACTTCATCCCACATTTTCCCTCCTTTAGAGATTCAAATTTATATGGTGATCCCATAAGTACAACCTTTCTAAAAAATCATTAAAATTGGTTGGCACACGTGGCGTAGATATAACACGACTATACAAACAAAACAAATAGTGAAATTAAAAAAATTTGTACCACCGATTTCAATATAAATATCAATGATGAGAACACTATCAATGTAGTCGAAGTTAATTAAATACGTATTATCAAGGATAACTCAAAAACTACTGGTTAGATCTTAATCAAATTTATACGGGACCACATGAGAAGCACCAGTTTTCAAATAAATGATCACAATTGGCACACATAGCAAAAAATACAGTGGAATTGAGAACCTCTTCTTTTTTAAGTTGGTTGAAAATAATAAGCAGCCGAATGTATAACTTCCTCTTCTTTAGATCGGCTATAAAAAAGTAATAATATTTGGAATGTTACTTCCTAGGGTGTGCTTATACCATGCCTGCTGAATATATGGGGCGTGATGCTGTTCCTGCGAATTTCGTGGGTTGTGTCGCAGGCGGGGATAGGACTCTCGCTGATCATTATTGCGATTTCCGCCATTGTTTGCGTCATCACCACGTTATCCATGAGCGCCATCTGTACCAATGGAGAGGTAAAAGGAGGTACGTTGTTAGTTTTACATTAAATCTTTGAATTACAGTTAGGAAAATGCGAACGTTAAATATCTCTATGGTTGTTTACCTACGTGATACTCTAGTCAATTGAGAATTTTTTTAAAAATTGTAAAAAGCAAACATTTTTATAGAAATTTTATGAGAATATAGTGTAGAATATAATATCTCCACCCTTTCGTTGTTGACTTATCACGCATTCGAACCGAACGGTTTGCTGCGTCGTTCATCATGCGTACATCAAAGTAGTGGAATAAGTTGCCAGCATCTGTCTTTCCACCCGATCACAATGTGGGTGTCTTCAAAGTAAGAGTGAATAAGCTTTTGTTAAGTCAGTGCGCTTCACCACCTTAGGCTACATCACCACTTACCATCAGGTGGCATTATAGTTAAACGCTGGCTTAGAATAATATAAAAAAAATATTATGAAAGGAGTTATGTATGAACATATACAGTAGATTTAATGTATAACATTAAATCGTTAAATATCTCTACATCTGGGTACTTGATACTCTAGTCAATTGAAAAACTTTTTAAGGGTTGTAGAAAGCACACATTTTTATAGATAGATTATGAGAATATAGTGTAATGACATCATAGATTTATGGTATAATTCAAATTTTATAGTACACCATTCAAAGTATCAAATCCAAATTATATGATGAAGTTATATATTGATAGTGATGTCAAAGAGGATACCCAATTATCTCACTTGCACGTGGCGCCCCCTGCGGGCTGATGGACGAGTCTCTCACGAGCTCACGACTGAATAATAACGGAAAATTAATCTAAAATAATGAACGTACAAGGGTGCGTCCGTATCAGGTCGGCGTTGACAAATCCGCCCGCAGGGCGAGGTACGTGTGGCTAGTTTTCCAGGAAGGTTAAGGCTTTAACTAGCCTGAATGACCTTGACGAAACGGCGATCGCAGAGATTTTAGCCGATGTCAACACCGTCTAGCAACTACGTTCTGTATTACTTATAAAAGTGCAAAGATTAATAGACTGTAGAGATGACAATTATATAAGTGACATACTGCCTGTTATGCTTGCGCATCACTGAGAATTATGTCGCGGTTACGCATCTTCAATTACATTGCACGGTGTGGTGCTGTAGCTTTGTCCGGTAGGCATCACAAGCTATCAAGTGTTCTAGTTTCAAGTACGTAAGAATTTTTATTATATATGTTAAATCGTATTTATTTGTGTCGTATTAAAAATATGTCGTCAAAGCGTTCGCTGTAAATTTTCCCGGGTTTGATCCCCGACATCACGAATGAAATTCGTAATTGCAATTTTCGTCAACACGCATTGGGGAAGCACGGCGGGCATTTCCTTGCCCTAAAACCCTCTCAGAAATAAAAAAAGAGTCCTGTGCCCAGTAGAGGGATTTGTATAGCCTATTACTTCACTTTGTAGCAATATTTATATTCGTTTCAGATATAGAAGGGTACCTTATGTTGACAAAAATATCATGTGGAGGCGACGAAAACGTAAAACATCTTTGTACCTAGATAAAACGTTCGAAAGATTGTCAGTCATGTCATACGCCACATTTACTATAGAGCGTAGAACATTGCAGATAGGGCAAAATAAAAAATAATCCAATATATTATGGGAACTATTTATTAATAATATATACATTTATAGGTATTTATAATAAAAATAATGAACAAGCTGCAAAGTTCAACTAATAATGTTTTTTTGTAAACACAATCGTAAAATTCCTGTTTTAGTTTTTACCAATGGTTAATTAATGAAACGTAGTCAAGATCACTTCATATAAAATATATTTAATTAAAATTGATACGTGACCTATTTGGCCTTCTACTTACAACTCGGCGGAAATTTGAAAAGAAGATTTTGTCTTTTCACACAAGTATTGTTTACAACTGGCGTGGTTTCTAAAAGCGTGATTAAGTGTCAGCGATATATAATCAATTAAATACTGAACTTTTTTGAAGTTTATTTTTTTGTTTATTTTTGTTATATCTTCTTAAAAACTGACGCCATCTCACTATTTTATTATTTGTTTTTTTTTTGTAACGCATAAGGATAAGTTAGACTAAGTTAGATTAACTTGGATAAGTTTATATTTTTTTTAATTTTATCACAAAATTTCCGCAATAAATTATTACCTTTTCTACAGTGATTCTCTCCTCTTAGTTTCGGCGTGACTGTAGGATGTTATAGTGAGTCACCGTCAGTTACTAAGGGGCAATAAATCATTATATGTATGTATAGACATACATATATACATTTTTTGATTTTAATATTTATGTTTTTTGAATTTTGATTGATTTTTTGAAACCTGGTAAAATTATTTTTTTCCATACCAATTGATGGGCCTGAGTATAATGCCAGTTATGCTCTTTGGCTGAAGTTATTTTTTATTTTATGCTCAATTGCAGACAAAACAATATTGATTGTGCATTTCTAAAACAAAATTTTACCTCTTCTCCTTCTAATAATAGCACCTGCACCTAACACGGTGGAATAGTTATTATTATATATAAGACCATTTGCGAAAACAGTTTTTGTTAACAGTTATGAGTGTAACATTTTATCAGCTGCTTTGTTTATAGTGCCTTGAGCAACAATGCCGGTTTCTGTACAGAAAATGATGCTGGCTTTGCAAATATGGATGGACGCTACCATTGAATATAATACCCGCTATGTTACACTTATTTACATAGAAACTTTAATTATCATTTGCATAAAATTCTAAATAGCACTTTTTACACAAGAAAGTAAACTTTTAGATCAGTCCATTTTGTTTTTCACTAATTAAGTAAAAAGTAAAACAAACCAATAGGGCCGTGAATTAAAATTTCTTGCAACTTTTTATAGAAAAGCATGACCTTATCATAATATAAAAGTCAATCATTTAGCCATGTGATAAAACTTTTAAGTGTGCCAGTCAAACATTAATGATGATATTCGGGTCATTATGCTGGAAATAGTCTTTTAAATATTTTGTAGTACAATTGATAATCTTCAGTATGATTGACCATGTATATGACTTTTATAAGTCAATGATATTTTTGATGAAAATTATTATTACAGATAAAAGCCCATTCACATTTATTTTAGTCTCGAATTAAATTAATCAAAATGAAAATGATAACATTGGCTCTTTATAACTGATCTTTAAATGTAAAATACTGACTTGAAATTATATAATTATTGGCATTTTTTTAATTCATTGAACTTTTTTAAGATTTTGTTGAAACTCTACTGGTAAAAAAAAAACAAATATATATATATATATATATATATATATATATATATATATATTATAGTTCTTGATGAAAATAATGTATGCGCGTTACATCGCATTCCATCAAGAATTTCTAATGTAATTCTTGGTGTAAAGCTAAGACCTGATAATAACTGTAAACAATAGAATAACAAAATAATGAAAACATTTACATTTACACACAAAACATTTACAAAAATACTTGCTTTATAACCTAATAAATATTATTTGACCGTAATAAAATAAAACAAGATAGTCTTGGGCATGAAAGTAAAAATAAATATTTTCGATTATTTTTGCAATATCTAACAGCCGGATCAGCGAGCGATTCTAATCCATCTAACGATGCTAAATTTCAGCAAGCACTGTCAAATTTAATAGGAGTGACAGAAAAACGGTTCTTGATATATAAAGGTAAATAAAGTATTTAACTTATAAAATAAAATCACTTTATTACAAATCAAAATAGCCCAATAGCTTTATTAACATGAGACATAATTGTACGAGTGCTTACAATACTTAACATTATTTTACTGAAATCTCAGATTTTTTTTAAATAGAATAAGGGTGACAAACGAGCACACAGTCCACCTGATGGTAAGTGGTTGCTACGGCCCATACACATCTACATCTATTCTCGATTACGTATCAAAATGTAGATGCGTTGTCACCCGTGAGGACTAAGATGTAATGCCTCGTTTCCAGTAAAAAGGTTCTCCGGTCTCTACACTCACCATACGAAACACAGCAGGGTTAAACTGCTATTTTACATGTTATTCCGTGAGAGCGTGGCCCTTCCCCGGTCGAGCCGACCCATTCGTGCTACAAATATACCTACTACTAATATAACTGCAGCATGGGTCTACCACGTAAAAAAAAATTGACGTTAAAAAATTAAGTATTTTAGAAGCAACTTTGCAATTATTTTCTATTGAGTTAATTTTTGTGGAATCGTGTTTTGCAAACCGCCACCTGAAATACGTACAATTTTTTTCGATAATGACGTGAAATTACAAAACGATCCCCATGCATTTCAATGTGGCTATATTCAGCCTCTTAATATGAACATACCTGGGGATTTAGAAATTTTAAAAGTTTTCATGCGTAGATAATGCAAGATATAATATTATATTATTACTGTCCCGTGTGAGGCAACGTTTATACTTATATACATATTCTCATCATATTTTTATGGTTGGTTAGAAAAATTATATCTAAATGCAAACTTTCACAGGGTACATTTTTTTTTACTATTTTTACCCAGCAAGTAGTAAAGCAACTACAATCCCATCGGTAAGTGGTTATGTAGCCTAAGATGGTGAATTGCACTGACTTAACAAAAACCTATTCACTCTTGCCTAATAGTACGAGGTAAGTATTATTTGCGACCTATTTGTGTGTGTGTGTGTGTGTGTGTGTGTGTGTGGGTGTGTGCGTGCGTGCGTGCGTGCGTGCGTGCGTGCGTGCGTGCGTGCGTGTGTGTGTGTGTGTATGTGTGAAGAAAAGCGATGATGAATATGAGAATATTTACCATTTAACATTTTTTAACATTTAATAATTTAAAATTTTTTAGATGATAGTTTGTCTAACATAAAAAAAAACCATAAACCCAAGAATGTCTTTATATAGGTATTTATACTTAGGGAAACACCATTTTTTATTTATTTAAATTGTTTGATTTAATTTGATAACAGTGTACCTAAATGTTAGTATCTTTACCTATATTTCCCTCCCCAATAATATTTTATAAAGTCATACTTATATAAACAGCGTTTTATTGTAATACATAATTATAAAATTCAGTATCAACTAATTAATAAAAATATGCAACAATAAAATTACATAGGTATTAAAGACTATCGAAATCTAAGTAACGAGAGCATGTTCGTCGTTCCACATCTAAATTATATAAAAATGCATTTTTCAATTTCACTAATCAACGTCGCCGCAAAAATTTCTTCTTCTTTGGGCACTTTAAAAATTCATTTATTTAGAAAATAATATTTACAGGTACCAGTATACAGATATTAACTAAATTAAGTATTTCTAGTCATAAAAATATTTATAATTGAGTATAAACTTTTAAAAAACTAATATATATTTGAACGAAGTCGCTCCTACACCGACGTGCGGTCCACCCTCGACGATGTCCGAAAACGGACTGTGACAGAGCTTACATGGCGACGGAGCATGCGCGCTCGCGTAAATATATTCAATTTCAGGGAAAAATGATATATTCTCTTATAAAACGGGTAATAAAAATAAAACTCTCAATTAAAAATGTTAATATTTTTAAGACCTTTTTTTTAGTGTAAGAACTATTTAAAAAGCTTGTGCCGTTTTGGAGAAATTTTGCAAAATATGACAAAGATAGGTACTCTTTGGGGATTTTTTTTCTAATAAGGGGTTGACAAAAATACAATTTTGTTAAATTAAAAACATTTACCAAATCTTCTTCTGTTACCCTGTATTTTTTCTTTGTGGATTAAATGAACAGTTATTGAGATTTTTTTACTTAAATATCCTAGATTTAGGCATTTCAACCACTGTTAAGGCCTTAATATGACAGCTGATGTAATTTTGAAAAGTTTTATCAGAAATGTCGAATACACAACTCGAGCTCTTCACGTGGTCAACCTTGTGCATTTTAATATTGACCTACTTAGTTGTCACTATAGTGAATTAGCAAAGGTCATATATGTTGTATGTTACTGTTAGGTGATGTTTTTCAAAAAAATTTTTTTAGCTAATTTTGAATTTTCTTTTTTGCTGTCTAATGTTTATTTTTATTAGTTTGCTTAGCTGCGTAAAAGAAGGACACACACACACACACACACACACACACACACACACACACACACACACACACACACACACACACACGCACGCACACGCACGCACGCACTCACACATACGCACACACACACACACACACACACACACACACACACACACACACACAAGGTGGAAACATTTCACTGAATTATAACTGAAAATGGCAGTAATTATTTATAGATATTTATATATTATTAATTTTATAAATTAAAAAAATGCTTTACAAGCGACAATAGCCCAATGGTCAAGTCAAGAGTACGAATCTGTCATTAGGCTATTGAACCCAATACGATGTACAAAGTCAATTTAATTTATTTCCGTATCTACTTTTGGTTTTAACTTTGTATGTTATGTTGTGAACGTAAATGTTTCCATCCCTTACAGCCTACAATAGTTCACTGTTGAACGTAGGCCTCCCCCATAGATTGCCTCGTAGGAGATTCTGCCATAGTTGCCACGCTTGGCAGGCTGGTTGGCAACCGCATTTATTAATTAATTTGAGTTGTTGTTAGGAAGATGCTGCTGCCCATCTCCTGTTTCAGTTTCCCTCCGTCGCCTTTTACGACACCCACGGGACGATGTTATGGGCTAGTGAATATCCTTACACCGCCACAACACGGCAGAAAATGTTTGGTGGCAAAACAATATTTCTTTCCTTTAGCGAAATGTCTCACAACCTGTATGTGAATCATTATCTCTTAGTGAAGATTGTCTTATCGTCATAAAGTGGTGGACGATGTATGTATTGTCTTATTATTATAAAAGCTGAACATGATCAACTAAATATGAGACAAGGTACTGGTTAGTTTCAATATCACTATTCTTAATAGAATAAGGAGTAATGGAATCAGGCGTTACTTTGCGGAAATTCATTATATTAAAGTTGGAAATATTTACCTTGTCAATATCCGCTCAATAAAGTAAAATGATGTATCTTACCTAGTTTGAAGAGCACCTCCCGCCCTCCCTAACTTAGCAGTCAGCCACCGTAAAGTCTACTACACCTGAAGATGCCTCGTGCAGAAGCGAAACACGTGTCGTATTGTCGTCAGTGTTGTGTCTTTCCTAGTGTAGTGGTGGTGCTGGGATTAGTGGTAATGGGGACAGTGTGCACACAATTGAGGTAGGGCGGAAAGTGCTCTTCAAACTAGGTAAGACACATCATTTTATTATATTGAGCGGATACTGGCAAAGTAAATTTTTCCAACTTTATTTTTAGATTATGGATGAAAAACGCGTATCAAAATGCAGATGTATTGTCATATGTGGTCTAAGATGGAATGCCTGGTTTCCAGTTAAAAGGATCTCCGATTCTCAATACTTACCATGCAAGTACAGCCGTAAATAGTACTATTTCAATATCAATACCAGCGTATTATGTGAGAGCGTGGTCCTTCCCGGGTCGAGCCGACCCTTTCGTGCTACTTATTCGTACTTATATCTGCAGCATGACGCTACCATGTAATACTAAGTAATTAATACTCTCAGAATAAGATTTTCTAATCATAAATTTTGTTCTAGGTGGAATCTACTACATAATTTCCAGATCCCTTGGCCCAGAATTTGGAGCGTCAGTTGGCATTATCTTCGCTTTCGCCAACGCGGTAGCGGCTAGTATGAACACGATTGGATTTTGTGATTCCCTTAACGACTTGTTGGGCACTCAGGGAGTGAGGATCCTCGATAATGGTCCTAATGATACTAGGATAGTTGGCACAGTTGCTCTGATCATCATGTGCATCATTTGCGCCGTCGGTATGGACTGGGAGAGCAAAGCACAGGTACTGATAATTAAAGATCTTTATAAATAAGAAAATTATATAAGTAAGGGTGACAAATTAGCACACAATCCACAACACTACTTTTACTTCGAATACGGATCATAATGTAACTATATAAATTGTCCCGCCTGAGAATTAAAAAGGAATACCTTGTTACCAATAAAAAGGGTCTTATAACGAATCAGAAATTGAATATTACAACAATCAAAACCTATTGAATGAAACTATATTTACTTAATTTCAATTCACGACGCTTCGGGTGCTTTATAGCACCCATGCTTACGGGAGGGAGAGGCTCCCGAAAGCTAAGCACCCGAAGCGTCGGGAATTGAAAATAAGTAAATTAAACTCGTTGAAATCCGTGAAAATAGTTTTATGCAATGTGTGGTCTGGCGCAACTAAAAGCTAACAATTGAAATTATTATTATATAGGTATAGGTATCGCTACTTCGCGTGGGGTACCGTTAAGGACTTTAGTTGCCCTAGGGCGAGAAAAGTATCAGTTTTGGTCTAGTTCAAGTTCTCTCTTGTCCAGCGGCGACGATATATTTAGATTTTATTGGCTATAACGAAAAGAAATATGTTTGTACACCACGCTGTGGTAAAATACACGATACTCGTACCTACTGTAAATTTTACTAAGACCTAACTTACTTTATTCATGAATTTTGAAAAAAAAAGACTACTGGGCTTTACTCGATGTATCATCACCATCATTAAATCAGTTTACAAGTCTACTACTGAACATTTTTCCGCAAAGAATGCCATAAAACGCAGTCCTGAGCCAAATACATCGATCGATTTCCTACATATCTTACCAGGTCATTACTCTATGTAGCGAATGGCCATCCTACTTAACCAGTTCAGGTCAGCTTAAAATGCTTATGCTGCGAGTGCCTCACGACAGTATTTAACTCAAATTCACGGCTTTTGGAGTTTGCAGTCTGAATACTTAATTACTGGCGCCCAATGGTTTAGGAACAGACTAATATGAACAAATATTCTCGATTATCCTGTACTAGTGATGATCGATATTAGAAAAATATCGATCTTGACATCGATGTTAACATCGGTTGAAAAGTATCGATGCACGATAAATATCAAAATGAAAACTTTGATGTTCGAAAACATCGAAGTTTGATGATTATTAAATGTATTTATTACGGTGAATATATAAAATTAACATTCCCAGTATGTTTTGGGTACACTCTGCAAAAAAAGTAACTTTCACAGAAATTAATCTTTTAATTTGTTCCTTTGTTGACACAGATGTTGACCAGCTTTTAAAAAGAGTCTTTTCGATGTTGTCGAAATTGCTGTTCAGCACAAATGCTTGGCGGCTACTTTCTTCAATTTGGCATAAGTGGACTTGCCATAAAAGTAATGGATCCTAATGGCCTTAAGTATATCGGTGTTCCAATATTATTTTCGTAACATCAATGCTTCGATGATTTCAAGGACTTAACATCGATGTTTTTCCGCTTAACATCGATGTTTATCTGGCATCGTTGAATATCGATCAGATTAAACGTAATATTACGTATCAATCAAACACTATTGATATTAAACTTATAAGTGGAAGTATCTGTAATGGAAATTTCCCGAAGCATAATAAACACTCAATTTACTTCAGGGAACATGGCGGAAGATTGATAGTGTCACGTGCCGGTTGGTTTATTTATTACCGTAATTGTGTTTGTTGCGATGTTAAAGCTTTACAAATAACAGAGTTCATCAAGCACGTAACTTCGCCAAACTTTAGATTGGAAATTAAGGAGTTATGAAGATATTTACAAAATTTTAATGGAACCTTGTTATAATCTACAAATAATGAAGGTATAAAAAAACGTGACTCGTGTTTTCAATTTAAGTTTAATGTACAAACTGAGGACTGTAGTGTGGTAGAGCCATGTTGCAGCTATGTATATTAGTAATATAGTTGTGGCACGAATGTGTCGGCTCGATCGGGGTAGGACCACGCTCTCACAGAATACTAGCGTAAAATAGCAGCTTAATGCCGCTGTGTTTCGTATGGCGAGTGTAGCACCGGAGAACCTTTTTACTGGAAACGAGGCATTCCATCTTAGTCCTCACGGGTAACAACGCATATGAATTTTGATTCGTAGTCGAGGATAGATGTAGATGTCTATGGGTCTCAGCAACCATTTACCATCAAATGGACTGTATGCCCGTTTGTCACCCTTATTCTATAAAAAAAACTTTTTTATAAAATGGGTGACAAACGATCACGCAGATCACCTATTGATACTTCGATTATGTGACACTTATATCTTTGTCGATTTAGAATCGAAATGCATCGGTACCACTAAAAGGGTCTATAGAAGACTTGTAACGAATAGTATATTCGGCCATAAGCCGAATACCGAATATTCTGCGGACTTCCTGGCGGAATAGCCGAATATTAGATAAAAGTGTTCGGCCGGAAAGGAAGTACATAAAGTTTATTCTTGAGAGCGTCTATTCTCTGAAGCTGGGGTTGTCTACGAGAAGAAAATGAGTAAACTACTGCCTGAAAATTAAGAAAAATTAGTCTTTCTGCACCATTATCTTCCAAATTAATTACGATAATTCGCGTGCATAGACTTTCATTTGACAGTTCTTTTTTTAATTTTTATAATATGGAAGTTGATTATGTACCTATGACTACTTTAATCATTACAAGAAAAAAAAATTAATTATAAAATAAATAAATATTTTCATTTTACCATTTATCTGACTACAATACGAAGCATGTCAGCATTACATGCTGTTCTTTTCCGCTGGTATTCTGTGTTAGCGTGGTCTTTTTACTGTCGAGCTGACCCAAAATATAGTTTTATCATGGCTGTACCTACATTATAAAACCCTTGTTAGGAGCCACCATATTTAATACTCGAAGAACCAACAACCGATGGCTAAGAAATAGGTTCTCGAGTGGCGACCTCCTACCTGCGGACGAAGTGTATGGCGTCCCCCCCCACTAGATGGAGTGACGACCTGGTAAAAGATGTAGGAAGTCGATGGATGCAGGTGGCTCAGGACCACGCTTTTTGGCATTCCTTGGGGGAGGCTTATGTTCAGCAGTGGGTTTGTGAAGGGCTGTAATGATGATGAGGATGATATATAATAAACTAACTGTTATCTACTAAGCAGAAGGTGGTAAGATTCCTTTTCTGCCTACGAGTTGGTCAGGGTAGCGCAAGCATCGCTAAATTGCGGTCTGCAGACCTAGTATACTTACAGATTGTAAGGCATTTAATTTCAGTCCTCAGAGAATCACAGGTGACAACGCAACTGTATAATTTTTTAATTGAATTTGGTGGGTTGCAAGTTCGTCTGTCACTTCATTTTAATTTAAAAAAAACATATATTAACACACTAAGAAAATAGAACTCAAAGTTATTTGCAGAATTTATCAGAAACTTTTTAATTCCGTGCAAATTAAATGTGTGCGCCTTTTATTACACCACTTGTTCAGCGTCTATTGGATCAATTAATTCGTTAAGGACACGAGAAGATCGCGTGGTTGATGTAGATATTGTTCTAAGTAAGCAAGTCGTTTATGCTCTGAAACTGTATTATGTAGGTTGTTGCTCAAACGATTTTTTGATGTGAGACAACTGGGCTGCAGCGTATTAGGAATTGGCTGCATTATGAGTTGGTCAGCTGGAACTGGAGCAGCATATACAGCTGCATTATGACTTGGTCAGCTCACGCTCAGAATACCAGCGTGCTGCTGTGTTTCCTGCGGTGTAGGACGAGAACCGGAGACTATTCCTTACTTTTTTCTTTTCTTCTTTTTCTTTTTTTGAAAAATGTCACTATCCCCACATACATTGATATATTTTGTTACAAAAAGTAGTTTAGTCTCTGATTTAACACAGAGTCTATTTTAAAAAAGAAGTCCCGAATGTATGCGGACTAAAATGTAAAGTATGGATATTGACAGCAAATTTTATTCGTGGCACGCTGCAGCTATAATAATGGTTGTAGCACGAATAGGGCGGCTCAACTGGGATAGAACCACGCTCTTACAGAACCAACTTATAACAAAATAAAAGTATGAAAAGATACCAAAAACCAGATAAACTTTCGCATTTTATACGTGGTAGAGTAAAGCTATAGCTATTTACCAGTAGTTGCACCACGAAAGGGTCAGCTGGACCAGAGAAGGAGTATGCTCTCACAGAATGTCAGCATAAAACATGCTGCTGTGTTTCGTATGGTGAGTGTAGATAACCGGAGATCCTTTTTACTGGAAACGAGTCATTCAAACTTAGACGTCAGGGGTGACAGCTCATCTGCGTTTTAGATTTTAATCGAGGACAGATGAATATGTCTATAGATCACAGCATCCACTTACCATCAGGTAAACTGATTCTATTAAAAAATGTCACATTTTGCTAAGCTTGTGTCGCCGCGACCGCGTCTAAGGGACTTTCGTGAGATTTTATTATTTATAGAATACTATCAATAAGCCTCGTTTGGTAATGAGACCAAATAGGTACATAGAGAATGGTGATAAGGTTTTATGGCTTTCAGTAAGAGGCAAAATAACCACCTAATATTGTCATAATTAGTATCCCAGGCAGCAGCAATTAATATACGAGGCATCTGATACTGAGTCTATCCGCCAAGCGTGGATTGGCAAAATTTTACTACTGAAAAGTGCAGCAGTGCACCAACTACGGTGTTCCGGTTGGAGGATAAGAGAGACAGTATAATTGGGTGTTTGACACCACCTGTTCGCGCCAAACGCTGTTGTCGGAATCGACGACAGAGGGCGCGCGGTTCGGTGCCATACCGGTTTGACGGTTGGATGTATCGAGCGCGCGCGAGTGCAAGGCAGTCGTCTGCCAGCTGTGCTAACGCTAGCACAGCTGGCATAGCACTTAGGCCGTAACACCACCATAATCAATTACTAAGTCATATATTAGATTTTTAGTATTTGAAGGTATACTAATAATATGATAATTTGACTATAAAAACTATGAGGTCATTACACTATGTCCTCATAAAATTTCCAAGGAAATATTTGTCTTGACAAATCTAAGAAGTATTTCAGTTGATTATACATATTTGGTGTCAAATAACCAATTAAAGGCTGTAAGGAGTTTCATTTTAGTAGTTATGTTTGTAGTCGGTTGCTGATGTCCATTTGCTGCAACAGCCGCTTGTCATCAGGTGGACGGTTAGCATGGTGGCAATAAACCACAACAAAATAAAAAATGTATTAATATAAATTTCTTTGTTACAGAATTTTCTGATTGCAATCATTGTAATTGCTATGGTGGACTTTATTGTCGGCACATTTATGGGACCAAAGACTTTAGAGGAAATCAGTAAAGGCTTCATTGGTTTCAGTGGTAAATATATCATTTTTCTATACATCTCAGTCTGTCTGTCTGTCTGTGTGTATCTCCGTAATGGCTGAACCGATTGTAATGAAACTTCACGATAGATATGAAGCAATACGAGGAGTGATTTAGGCCATATTTTGGTAGAAATTTTGAGGTCATTTTTTTTAAAACGAAAAGTTGTAAAATCTAAATAACTCTACATTAATAGATCCTGGTCTGCTGTTGCTGGTCTCCAATAAAATACTTCTATCTATGATAGTAATATTATTTTATTAAAATAAGGGTGACAAACGAGCACACAATCCACATCATGGTAAGTGTGCCCCATAGACATCTACATCTAGCCTCGATAAAGAATCAAGATGTAGATGCGTTGTCACCTCTGAAGACTAAGAGCGAATGTCTCGTGTCCAGTAAAAAGGATGTCCACACTCACTAACTCAACCGCTAATTCACACTGGTTTCTGTGAGAACACACTCTTTCACCCAGTCGACAAATTCGTGCTACAAATAAATAGCTGTAGCACGGCTCTACCACGTATAAAATGGTAAGATTTGTTTGTATTTTTGGCGTCTATTCATGGCTAAACTGTTAAACCAATCTTACTGATCTTTCGCACGGAGATACCTTCTATCCTAATGATGGACTTAGGCTATGTAATATTTTATGAATAAGTCGCGGGCACACTTAATTTAACATAGACTAAGATTTTATTCCATACCGAGCTAATGCCATGATCTTGACCGCAGTATCAACATTCAAGTCTAACTTTGCTCCGGACTTTCGGTACAGTGAGAATTTGGAACAAGACTTCTTCACCGTCTTTGCAATATTCTTCCCGTCGGTCACCGGCATACAGGCCGGTGCTAACATATCTGGCGACCTTAAGGTAAGCAACATTACTTGTGTACTAAAGCACGGTCGCGGAGCAGGAATTTTTTGCTTTGCATTTTTGAACTTAGATCCCATCATAAAAAGTTTTATTTCTATTGCAATTAAGATAATTTTAGGATATTTTGAACAGTATTTGTGATTCCAAAATCGAGTTTAGTCGCAAGTTAGTAAAGTTCACATTTGTATGAATTGCAATAATTAGAAATTCCTCCTACTCCGCGATCACACCATAGTCTATAAATATTGCTCGTTACAGGCATTCTCTAATTTCTGAGAGGGGTTGTGCAGCAGAAAAGAGTCTTAAGTGCTGTTTACCACATGCTTGGTGGTAAAAGACACCTTAATGACTGAGGAATAACAAATATATCTGAGGCATGTGAATTTCGCCAACACGCGTTAGGGTAGCGTGGCGGACTTCTTGCTCCATAAAACCCTCTCAGAAATGAAAGGAGGTCTATACTAGAGTGGCACTTGTAGGCTTTTATAATGCTTTTCTTGACTTCCATCCCACGTTGATGATAAATGGCGATGTAGTCTATTAATAAAGTTTACGTTTACATAAAGATCGTAAGATGGTATATATATATATATATATATATATTCAAATAAATAAAATTCAAGTGTCCGTTTGTAATGTCAAAATAACAGCTTTTTACTAAATGCATACGAAAGTATATACGGTACTTATATAAAAAACAGGTTTAAAAATTTTTGTATGTCTGTATGTCTATCTGTCTGTCTGTCTGTCAGTCTTTTGTTTTAGTGGTTTGTTCCGACTAATCTCCGAAACGGCTGGACCAATTTTGACGGGGCTTTCACTGGCAGATAGCTGATGTTATAAGAAGTAACGTAGGATACTTTTATTTTTGAAAAAGAATTAGGGTTCCGCACAAAAAAAATACCCAATGAAATCCAATAGTAATAAATTGCACGCGGACGAAGTCACGGGGACAGCAAGTATTGGTATATATCCAGTATATTGGCAGAACTTCATAGCCTTCTTACATTTTATTTAAATATTCTAGAGTGCCTCAACGGGTCGCAGAAAAATATGTATTCAAAACTCAGTAAATATGATAAACATACACCCATTTAGGCATATCATGAATATCTCTAATACAAATCACTCGCTGACGGCCAGCAAGCGACATCAATACGTTAATTAACTGGTGGGCGTTCCTCACCCAAAAGTTCGTCAATATTTGTCATACGTTTCTTTCGACTTCGTAACTCTGAAAGGATCGAAATTAGTGTTCGTTTTATATTATTTCACAAAAATTCCCCATTCTCTCTGTAACTACAATAGTGTTCGTTTATATTAATAATTATTCTGTTGTTATTTATTATACTTATGTATATTATGTATATTTATTATATTCAAGTCAATCAATATTTAAAAATAAATTTCTAAATATTGATTGACTTGAATATAATAAATAAATATAATAATTAGTTCGGTAGACAATTTGACTATAATCGTCACGGTGGTCATGCGAACTGGCGATTGTATTCCAGAATGATGTTGATTCGATCTGTTTCAGCTCTTTTTTTTTATAATAATCACGATGAATCATGGTCGAATGAAAAATATGACGATGAATTTTATTCATTCTCCAAGGACTGCTATAAAACATGGTATGCTCAATACACACAATCGATGTTTCCTACGTGGTAGAGCCATACTGCACTGATGGTAGCACGAATAGGTCGGCTCGGCCGGGAAAGTTCCACGCTCTCACAGAATACTGCGGTGCTACTGCTTAATGCTACTGTGTTTCGTATGATGAGTATAGAAAACCCGAGACCCTTTTAAACGAGACATTCCATCTTATTCTTCAAGGGTGACAGCGCACCTGCATTTTGATTTTTAATCGAGGATAGATGTAGGTGTCTAGGAGTCACAGCATCCACTTACTAACAGGTAGACTGAGACCTCGTTTATAATTTTATAAAAACATGCGTGTCTCGGAACACTCGGTTGGAACGAATTTCCTTTCGTAGTATATTATTATTGATAAGCGTATTATATTATTGATTTACAAAAACACATAAATTAATTACTAGCGTCTATTAAAATGAAGCGCCATTTTCTTTGATAGCAAGATAAGAAAAAGTGCGAGGGAGATGGATATTATTCCATCTTGCTTCCTTATAGCCGCCAGGCCGTCTACACTAAATGGGGTCGTGACGGATAAATCTTACACTTTTTCTCACCTAGCCCTCATCTGCTAAATTCATACCGTCGGATGAAGAACTTCGTTCCAAAAAAATTGACTCTCTTTAACGGTAAATGGAGAGCTGTTCTATACTCCACTTACCGGTACGGAACTCCTATTCAAGAAGCCTCTGCCACATTAATTGTTGGTTCTTTGAGTTATATGGCCAACGTGTTGTCACTTTAGTTTACTGACACGTTGCTCATTGCGGATAACCTCGTTATGAATTCTCTCACGTGGAGAAACTCCGAGCTAATAAACTAACTGCAGCATGGCTCTACACTTTCACGTGGTAGAGCCATGCTGCAGCTATATTAGTAGTATAGTTGTAGCACGAATGGGTCGGCTCGGCCGGGGAAGGACCACGCTCTCACAGGATACCAGCGTAAAATAGCAGCTTAACGCTGTGTTCGTATGGTGAGTGTAGAGAACCAGAGACCCTTTTTACTGGAAACGAGGCATTCCATCTTAGTCCTCACGTGTGACAATGCATCTCTATGGGTAATAATGATGTATATGAGCCACAGCAACCACTTACCATCAAGTGGACTGTGTGCTCGTTTGTAACCCTTATCCTATAAAAAAAACCTTCAACACGTTGAAAAGCTTTACAATTTCTGAAACAGCCAATAGTAAAGGATTACGTGTAAGTTGTATGAACGTTTTTTTTTTAATTACCTCCACATTAGGATTTTCTCTTGTATCGCGGAGGCAGTTTAAATACACAAGGACAAACATCCAGACCCAGAACAATTATTTGTAGGCCATACAAATACTTGTTCCGTGCGGGATTCGAATCCGCGGCCCTTAGCACTGCAACTAATTGCTAAGCCATTGCGCCACGGTGCCGTTTTTTTAAGATTTTGATGAATGCTGTACGAGAATTTCCTGAGTACTTACAGTACGCTGCCCAGCCGAGAATCAATTATACATATTATATCGAAGAGAGTGTTATGCTATTAGAATGTCTTACTGCCTACTTTTTAACCGACTTCAAAAAAGGAAGAGTTTCTCAATTCGACTGTATTTTTTTAATGTGTGTTACCTCATAACCTTTTTCTAGGTGAACCGATTTTGATGATTCTTTTTTTATTTGAAGTTAGTGCTGTTCATGTGGTCCCATACAAATTTGATCAAGATCTGACCAGTAGTTATTGAGTACCTTGATAATGTGTATTTAATTGACTTCGACTACATTGATGATGTTCTCATAATTCTCATTTTATTTATATTAAAGTCAGTTGTACAAAACTTTTGATTTTACCACTTCTAAGTAACTGATCTAACCAAATGGGGTTGGATTTTTTTACAGTGTCGAAATCAGATGAAATAAATCTTTCACATATTTTTAAACATGTCTTCTAAAATTTATCGTTTATATTCCTATGTTGATCCTGATGGTTGGCAATAATATTAGTGATTTATCATAGCGCCCTAAACAACGCAGTTAAAATGAGGTCAAGGCGACGTCGACGAATAGTAACTCGGACAAAATTGGACTTGCACATTACATATACGTTCGGTTTCAGAGAGTACAACGTTGGGTTAACCATATTGCGTTTACTGTTTCAAGGAACAGTAAAAAATAAATGCTGCAGCTATATTAGTAGTATAGTTGCAGCACGAATGGTTCGGCTCGACCGGGGAAGGACCACGCTCTCACAGAATACCAGCGTAAAATAGCATCTTAACACTGCCGTGTATCGTATGGTGCGTGTAGAGAACTGGAGACCATTTTCACTTATAACAAGGCATTTCGTTCTCAAGAGTGATGACTGATGAATCATCTGAATTTTGATTCGCAGTCAATGATAGAAAAAACTGTCTATGACCACAGACATATGACACCATTATGTGAATTGTATGCTCGTTTGTCATTCTTACTTCTATGAAAGTAAACAGGGTATATCGCAAGCAGATGTGATTTAAATTTATTGCAAAACTTCATTCCTAAATTTTCAATCTCAACCATCAATCTCACTCAAGCACTGCAAACGTGTAAGAGATATTACACCCTTACTCGTAAATTTTGTTACACCATAAGGGGTAATTGACATTGGCCGAGTAATTAAAAGTTGTTGCTGTGATCCAAACTTACAAGGAGCGCATTATTCATTTAGGTACGCTGGTTTATTTTTGCACAAAACAAAATTCTAACAAATGTATAAAGTTAAACAGTACAAAAATATATTAAAGAAACTAAAAGAAGTGGTAAAATTAAAAATTTTGTACAACCGGCTCCAATATAAATAAACCTAGCAAGCTAACAGCATAGCAAAGTGGCGAAGCAATCAGCTTTGTAGCGGTTTCTAACGGTTGCCGTTGAGCAATGAGTTTCAAAATAGGAGGTTCAGATGCTTGGGTGATCAGTAATCGATTGCTGAAAACAGAATTTGAAAATTCAAAACCGTTCTCGAGATAATCGTGGGACAGACGGACAGACATCAGATATCGTGAAATCAATAAGTGACTTCGCAAGCTTCGCCACTTAATAAAATGAGAACATTATCAATGTAGTCGCAGACCATTAGGTACATTTTATTTTATAAGTTACGGGTGACAAACTAGCACACAGTCCACCTGATGATAAATTCGTATTATTGAGGATAACTCAAAAACTACCGGTCAGATCTTGATCAAACAAAATTTATATTTGGTTTAATTTATATTTTAAATAAAAAATTTTATTAAAATTATATGGGACCACATAAAAAGCACCAACTTTCAAATCAAAAACGCATCACCAAATAGGTTCACCTAAAAAAATGTTCTGGTGTAA